AATATATTTACAACGCACGTAGTTTAATTCACATAAGAAATCTAATAAGTCAATAAATGAAAACAAACAAGTTCAATTAAATCAATATAATGCAATTAATGCAAATAATTTCAAATAAATCAACTAAGGCAGTTTAAAACAAAATAAAAACATAAATAAACAATTAACAATAAAAAATGCACCTAAATAATTAATAAAAAAAATACCAGGACTATCCTTTTTAAAATTAGGGGGACTATCCTTTTAAAATTATGGGTATTATCCTTCTAAAATTAGGGGTATTACAATTTAGTACTTAATAAAGAGGTCCACAAGGTAACCAGTTGTCAAGAAATGCTGTGGTAGAAGTTCCACTATTGATTTTGTGTCACACAATAAACTAAACCAAATGTCTATGATGTAGTAACTTCCTCCAAAACCAAGAACAACTGTTTGGAATCTTCAGTTCCCACAGACTTTTGTGCTTGATTAGATGCTTTTGAAGTCCATTTTTTTTCACATACTGTTAGAGTCATAACACAATAACCAAATGTTTCTTAAGATAACTGCTTAATTTGTTCCACATTTGGAGATTAGGGATGCTCAGGCATCTACCTCTTTTGGTCTGCACACAAGTTCCCATGGAACTTTGGCTCTGAGCTTAGACATGACAGGACTTGACAACAAAAACTTTTGAAGAATTTGGTTCATCTAAGTAATCATATTATAGGGTAAGATAGACGTGTTAGTCTAGAAAATGTGTATGCTGTATAAAGTGGCATAACTAGGGGAAAAAAATGTGCCTCGAATAAGATGCGCTATAAAGGAGAGTGCTCTTGCTATCCAATTAATAATTCTAACTGGTATATAATCTATTAGTTTTTGGTAGTCTTTTGCACTTAAACTTGTAGTTAGTAATGGAATAACCAAGTATCTAATGGGCAGGGAGCCACAAAGAAACCAGAATAAGTTGGTAATGTCTTGTTTGGTGTTCTCAGGAACTCCACATAGGAGGAATATACGACTTTTGTAAGTTAATCCTGAAAGGCTAGAAAATGTGTCAAGAGCCTTTTAAACCTAATGTTGGGTTTATGACTTGAATGTCTCCTTTTCAGGTTATTATGGATCGATTCGATCTATTCACTTGGGGTGTGTTGCGAAGAGGAGTGACCCCAAGACATGTACGTTCAACATTTTTTTAGAACATGTTCATTTTTGGTAGCGAGCTCGAAAACGGTGATTTTGTCAAGGTATTATTTTAGAGTTGTAGTTGTTATGGTAACCTCTTATAGGCAAGTTATGAAATTTTTGTTCAACAAGGAATTGAGTTTAAAGACGCTATAAGTAAAGATGAGTGTAATAGATTAGGGTAGAAAGGAAGAAGGGAAATATATAAGGGGTTGGTGAGTGTTGTGAGGAGAGAAGAAAGATGTAAGGGGTTAGTGAGTGTTGTGAAGAGAAAGGAGAGTATATGTAATTCTTGAGTGTATTTAGAAGAGTGTGATGAGTGAGAGTGAGTGGGGTTTTGACATCTGGTTGTATATTTTCTTCCTTAATTCATAATAATGGAAATTTCTTTCTCTTCATAGACATGACCATAGAGTTGGGTGAACCATGTAAAATATTATGTTGTGCATGAATGTGTATGACTGTTACTCCATATATGTTTGTGTTGATGTGATGTGATATAATGATGCTTCAATTATGTTTGATGAAGGAGGATTTGACTCCCAATAACAACTAACCATAGAGTGGGTTGAAAAGAATCAATATCCCAACAACTGGTATCAAAGCCGATGGTGGGTCAAAGCTTGTGGTTCGTTCTGAAGATAAGAGAAGAAGGATGGTGTGAAGTTTGTCAGAGTAAAGGTTGATCATGGGTTCTATGGAAAATCAATCAGAGTTGATGCTGACACGAAGAAGGTGGACAGTATGAAGATACAAGAACATGAGAAACAAGTTTTAGGGACAAGCCAAATAGTGGTGCTAGTTCTCAAGATAGGTCTAGTATGATTTGAGGAATGAATGAGTTTTCTCTAATCTCGATAAAAAGCAATGCAAAAGGAATAAAAGGTTTGTCGTTTTTGCCCAAAATAAGCAACAAAGAGGGTTAACAATTGACAAGGATGGTGGAAGAAGAACAAGCATGATGGAATTTGAGAAAAGATGGAGATTGTTGGAGCGTTTTCAATTTCATCATAGCGTTTGATTCGAGGTAGAGAGATCTTCAGTCGAGGTGGAGTTATGGGGTAGCGCGTGCAGACCGAATTCAAGCCAAAGTAGAGATTGTTAGGTTTGTGGCTTGAATTCATGTGCAAAAGATGGATCTATTCAAGTTAATAACTCCTTGTAGGCAAGTTGTGAAATTCTTGTCCAACTAGGAATTGAGTTTGAAGACTATATAAATAGAAATAAGTGTGAGAGATTAAGGTAGAGAGATGAAACATGAAAGAGGTTAGTGAGTGTTTTGAGGAAGGGGGAGATTATGTGTAATTCCTGAGAGTAAAGATGTAGCCTTAAGGATGTGATGAATGATAGTGAGTGGGGTTTTGACATCTGATTATATATTATCTTCCTTTATTCATAAAAGTGAAAATCTTTCTTCATGCACATAGTTCTAAAGTTGGGAAAACTACGTAAAATATTGTATTCACTACAAGAAAAACAGTTTTTTTACCACGTTTTTTTTACCACGATTTTAAAAAAAATGTGGTAGAAGACCCTTTCTACCACGGTTGTTTTAAAGCCGTGGTAGAAGACCCTTTCTACCACGGTTAATAAAAAACCGTGGTAGAAAGTATATTCTTTTACCACGGTTTTAAAATAACCGTGGTAGAAAGTATATTATTTTACCACGGTTATTTTATAACCGTGGTAGAAAGTGAATTATTTTTAATATAATTTAGGCGTGTCTTTCGACCACGGTTATTTTAAAACCATGGTAGAAAGTGAATTTATTTCAATCCCTTCCACCCATCTTTATACCATGGTTAATAGCAAACCGTGGTAGTAATTTATTCTACCACGGTGTAGGCACCGTGGTAGAAAGTGAATTTAGTTTCACCCGCTTCTACGCGGGTCTTATTCCCGTTAGTTTCTTAAAAAAAAATTTAAAAAATATATTTTATATACAAAAATATATTTACTCACATGTGTCCACACTAGGGCTGCTACTCGGGCAGACCCAACCCGATTTTACCCGAGCCCAGCCCGCATTTTTATGGGCTTGGATAATGAATTTTTGTTCTGGGCCTGGGCTGAATTTATTAAGCCCGAATTCAATTCGGGTCGGGCTCGGATAGATATATTATGAAACCCGAAGCCCAACCCGAACCCGCCCGAAATGCTAAAACCCGTTCAACCCGCTCAAAGAAGCCGAACATCAAGCCTGCCCAACCCGGAAATGAAGCCCGCTTCTAGTATTTAGTAATTATAGTAGCCAATAGGCACAAAAAGATTTGATCGTTGGACCTTTAAGAGGAAAGAATGAAGCATTACCATTTCTGCTCCAACAGTTCTTGTGAAATCTTTTACTTAGTAAAATATATAAATACTAATTATATATACCTAATATAAAATTATAAAGAAGGCCATTATTTCTTTTGATTAAGATCCAAAAAATTATATATACCTAATATAAAATTATATTTATCTCTTTTGATAAGATCCAAAAAATAAAAAAGGTTATTTCCATTGAATAAATTATTTCTTTTTAGGGGCCATATAAAAATATCATTTTTTTTTTCTTTTCAAAATATGAATTATTGACTCATTAATCACTATTAGAGGAATTCCTTTATTGAAAGTGATATTATTGATGATTTTAATATCTGACTTGCATTATTGACTCATTATTAGAGGAATTCTTCTACAAAAATTGCAATGTTTTATAATTTTTCAAAACTTTGCATTTTTTTTTTTTTTCTCTTTTTGTTTTTTTGTTTATGAGTGTTAGATAGTCAAATAGATCATTAGTTTTAATCACTAATGCCTATCAAAGTAATAGATATATATTAATGATCAAACACACAATCTTTTACATATAAAGTATAAACGAAAGGGATACACAATCTAATTATATATAAAGAATCCTTACAAATATGCAATGTGATGTATACATAAAACAAATATATATATCAATGCCTATCAAAGTAATAGATGTCTATTAATGATCAAAAATACAATCTTTTACATATAAACGAAAGGTATACACAATCTAATTATATACAAAGAGTCCTTATAGATATGCAATATGATGTATACATAAAACATAATATATATATATATATATATATATATATATATATCAATGCCTATCAAAGTAATAGATGTATATTAATGATCAAAGACACAATCTTTTACATATAAACAAAAGGGATACACAATCTAATTATATATAAAGAGTCCTTACATATATGCAATGTGATGTATACATAAAACAAATATATATAATTTGATATACATAGTGATTGAAACTTTAATAAATAACAAAGATACTAGATTAAGATGAAATCTAGAAAGGAGATTACAACTTTCTAAATAGTTAATTACCTTCTATTTTTAAATAGGTCCATTATATTTGACACATGTAGTCATGCATAGCCACGTAAACTATGTGAAGTAGTACATTTTTATTTATCACGACAAATAGTTATCTATATCACAATGAAAACATATATCAACAAAAAATAATCAAAACTGAAACATTGGCTATATATATAATTATATATATACACTATAAAAATAAAAACTTATTATTGTATTGTTAAGGAAATTAAGAAAAACTATAAAATAAAAATAAGGAAAGACCGAATTACTCGAACACTTAAAAAAAAAAAAAAAGAAAAAAAAAAAGAAGAAAAAGTCGAACACTGTTTTTACTTAAAAGAAAAAAAAAAGAAAAAAGAAAAGAAAAGAAAAGAAAAAGTCGAACACGGTTTTTACTTTTTGGTATATAGAAACCCTAGGTTCCTTATCCTTACTTTTTGGTATATAGAAACCCTAGGTTCCTTATCCTTACTTGATACTTCCTACTTTCCTAGTTCCTTTACTCCCAAAGTCGGCCTCCCCTACTTTCCAAAAAAAAAAAACTTCCCCTCTTCTTAGTTTCCATCGCCCGTTGTTCCAGATCGGATTCACCGTTCGCAAGCTTCAGCCGCTGGCAGCTGTCTCTCAAGTCTCAACTCTCAAGCTTGCCCTCCTCTCTCTCTGCAACTACTAGCTTGTATGTATGGGTTTTGTTTTAATTTTTTTTTTTCTTTCTAAATCAACTAATTAATCAAGGCTATAAGACTGTAATTCTTGTTTTGCAATTTTTATTTTTTATTTTTATTTTTTTTTCAAATTGTTCAAAAAATGAAAACCCGTATCTTTAAGTTTCCAGATCCAAATCTCCAACCCTTATTCGCCATACCGTCCTCTGTCTTGCCGTCCTTCGTCATCGTCTGCTATTATATCGGTAGGTACTACAGATTTATTTATTTATTTTCTGTTTTAATGAGTTGAATCCATTGCAATTTCTTGTTATTGTTGTTTTGTCTTGCAAATTGAAGTAGAAATTTATATATACACACAATTTGCTATTATTGATTTACTGAGCATTTTTTTTTTTTTTGGTTTAATAATTTACTGAGCATTTTTTTTTTTTTTTTTTTTGTTCAATAATTTACATCACACAGATTCAAGGTCTTGTGGATTGTGGTACTACAACTTCATCGTCATCATCAGCTTCTGGAGTCGTCTCATACAACTACTCCAACTCCAAACACTAATAAAATTGAGAGCCCGATTTAAAAACCCAAGAAAATCCGAAAATGTAACCCGAACAAAGAACTCGACTTTAGCCCATGTTTTAAAAATTAAGTATGGGCTGGGCTTGGGCTCAGTAGGCGAAATTATACCTGAGCTTGGGTTGAAAGTTTGTTGGTTGGGTTGAGCCCGAGTTAAGTGCCCAACCAATCTAACTCGCCCGAATTGCAGCCCTAGCGGCGTGCACACCCATACAATATTTTAGGGCAAATCATTTCAGACTCCCCAATCGCCTCCATCTCTAGGATCGTTCTCAACTCGGCCCTCTATCCGTCTCTGCAACTGCAAAGTACAAAATCTACAAGAATCAGAACCCATATCGGCATATGAGATATGACTTTGAATAACGACAACGATGATGATTTTGAATCACCCACCCACAAATTCCAGATCCACCGCAAACCCTCAAGCGTCTCCGGCGAGGTCGCACCACCGAATCCACATCGGCCACCCTGAAGCGGGAGTTGTGGCGTAGTGTCGATGAAGAGATTGTTCAAAATATCAAAACCCATATCCTTCAACTTCAATTGCCCGTTGTTCCAGTTCGGGTTCGCCGTTCGCAAGCTTCAGCCTCTGGTCCGCGCGCTGTCTCTCAACTCTCAAGCCCTCTCTCTGCGACTGCTAACTTGTATGTGTTGGTTTTGTTTTATTTTTATTTTTCTAAATCAATTAATAAATTTCTGTAATTCTTGTTTTGCAAACTAAAACCTATTAAGTGAAATTTTTAGTGCAAATCATTTTGTATAATGTTCTAACCCATTCCCTTTTTTGACTGCTTGTACGTATTTGATTGAATTCCGGATACAAAAAAGCAAAAGGCATCATCAAATTCAATGACGAAAGGGGTCCAACTTGCTCTTGAAAATGATAAACAAAAGGTGAATTTTAAACTCTAAACTACTTCCTATATGAACTCTAGAATTTTTACCATACATCTTTTCTCAAACAAGCAAAGGTTTAAAATGATACCTTATATCGAAACAGATTTAGTTGGCCAATCTGCTTAAATAATGTTTATTATCAATTTGTAATACTGAAATAAATTGAATGGGTGATTCTGCAACTATTTTTTTTCCCCCCTCGTACAAATTGTGTGACAAGCTAGGGTGACCATTATTTAGAAGACCGGAATGCAGATGACATTGTTGTTCTCATACTCTCTTTTTTGACCTTCAAGGAAGCAACGGCTACTAGTGTCCTATCAAGTCGATGGAGGTATCTGTGGACACATTACTCTCGTCTTGATTTTGATGCCCCAGAAATGATTAGTGAAATATATTGGACAATGGACGAGGAAGTTGTTGAGGCAGAAATGGTGAGATATGTCAAATGGGTGAATCAGGTTGTGCAGCTGTATAGGGGCTCAACTATTGAAGAATTCAGGGTTCGTTTTTCATTTAACTATCTCCACTTAGGGTTTATTTTGGTGTTATATTTTCTTTAATTGATTTGCATGTACTTGAAATGTAGTCTTCCAAAGGGACTGGGAAAAGACAACAACGGGAGCGTCGATTGCATGGCCTATCAATTAAGTACATCAAAATTTGTAAGTTATATGGTCTTTATGTTCGATAAAATTCTTTTATGATTGCACATTTTTAATGCCTTTTATACTCATACTCAGGGGGGTCACATGCCTTTAAGTGACCAATTTTGTGATGTATCTTGAACTTTATTACCTTATTGGTACATCGGCCTGTGTGGAGGCCATTTTTATTTCTTGTTTTAAAATGTTGAAAGCATGGGAGTATGGGATCATCGTATGTGGAGGTTTTGATTGATTGTTGTGGAGGAGAAGTTGTTGATATGTTGTTTAAGGAGTTAATGCAAGTTGGCAACTTAAATTTTTTTTATGTATTAGTTGTTATTCATATTATATGCATATGATTGATGTAAGAAAAAAAGGGGTGGATTAATTACCTTAAAAAAAGAGTGCTATAGTCACATTTGTATGCGAATCAAAAGAAGGAAACTGAACTCCAAAATATCTTTAAAACTGATCCAAATGACAATTTCTGCAAGCAGAATTATATTTTCAGAAGGTGGAGTTTTGGGGCCATATGGATCATAGAAGGGTGGATATTTGTAACTTTTAGGCTTGGCCTTGGGATCTCTTGGAACAAAGTCAGGTTGGAAGGAACGGAATTGCAAAGGCCCAGTTATTTCAGGAAGAGTAGGACATACACTAGCGGTTCTGAAAAGTGCAATGAACTTCATGGTTTTGTTCACTAGTGAGAACATAAAGTAATTAAATGACGATGGCTAGAAAGTGGTGTTTTAATCATGTAGTTTTAGCATTCTGTGTAGCTGAGAGGTCTTGCTTCACTTCGCCGTAATGATTTGAGAGGAACCTTACCTGAAAAAGGGAATAAAGAAGGCATAAACAACACTCCTCTCCTCCCAAAACCCTCACAAGAAAGGCCATTACCTGGTGCTGATCTCGCTGACGTGAGATGTTAGGAGATGAACCTAACTGTTAAAATTATTTTGCATAATTTTTTGCTCTCACATCATATCGTTTGTTATCCGGATCATTGCACCGAGCAATGACTCCTTCTCCCAACCTCTCGAAAAGGAAAAAAAAGAAAAATCAAGAATGAAATTTTGGCTATCCAGTAGTCAATGCATCAACAAATACAACAAAACCCACTTCTGGTCTGGGTGTGATCAACTAGAATTCCACTTTTTTCTTTTTCATTGTCAACTAGCGCAAATGACAATTGCAAAGTAAGAAATTGTGACACCCAAAATACTTCTTGATCTATGCCGCTTTCCCAATTTATAAGAACATTGGCAAACAGTTAAAGTTGAAAAAACATTTTGAAATGGGCATTCATTCAAACATATCGCATGCAACCCATATCATGCAATAATAAATCACAAAAGATTAAAAATAAATCATACATAATATGCAAAGTTTTATAATGCCAGTTATATAGTAACATTGTCCAAGTAACAAGCACCAAAAAAACAAAAAAAAAAAAACATAGCAAGAAGCTTACTAGGTAGTAAAAGACGCATTCAACAAGATGAGTGTTCTCTTTCTCAATCAATTGGTAAATTTGGGTTGAACTTGAGTGTTGAACAAAAGTTAAAGATTCCATTTTATCTTCTTTCTATTTTTCCCTACTACTTCACTTTCCTTTGTAAGGTCTCTCTTCACTGAAGCAATTATGCCTTGGTAGTAGTAATATCTGTACTACTTTCAAATTATGACATAGTAGATAAAAAATTTATATGAATCTTGCAATCTAGCAGTAATAGTAATTTTTCATCTTTTTAAATAAAAGTTTGATGGTTGAAGTCTGTGTAGGATGCTCGTAAAATTCATAAATGAGAAAAGTGTTGCCAATTCATCCATTGTACTCATTTACAGGGAACAAGTTTTTATGTAGCAATCCAAAGTTACCTCCCAGTCATGATACTGATTAAATTTCTTTCAAAAATTGATAGTAGTAGGGTCATGTAAGTGAATGATTATTGCCCAAAAAACAATATTAAAGGAACTGATAAATAAAGTATGAGCATTACCCATGCCAAGCCTCTTTCTTGTATACATACATACATAGAGAGTCAGATCAAATGCTACCTATTCCATATTCTAATAACAGTTCAACTTATTATAACTTCAGTATGTACTTGACAAAAGGATTCCATTCATTCTAAAGCTGTTGATAATGCAAGCAAAGGAAGGAGTGCTTCACTTATATAACCACTGTAGTGATAGTCCATAAAAGATGCCCATCTCTAAACTTACCTATAACATATTTAGGAGAAATAATTTAATAAATAAACTTAGCTAAAACATTACTTTAAGAGTATATATGAAAATTAAGTAGCAACTCAAGAGAGAGAATACCTTGTCATAGTTTCAACAGCTTGTAAATTGCATATACATTCTAGCGTACACTAAACAAGGCTAGCTCCACCTCAAGACAATTGAGGTGGTGGCCAAAGACTCCACTTGGAAGAAAAGCTTCCTAGGAGCAGCATGCTCACTACATGAAGCTGATAAAACCAGCATCTCCCTTTGCTTCCATTTTTGTAATATCAAAAAGGTAATTACACAGAATTTCTTATGAAATTCTAGATACATATAAAGCCTTTGATTTTGCCATTTTGGTCAATTTAAAAAAATAATAATAATAAAAAAAAAGAAGTAGAAGAAACCTTAGCTTGGTAGTAGTTTTAGCTTGACACACTGAACTTGTTTTGCTTGAGTTAAGACCATGATAATACTTGTTTTGCTTGAGTTAATACGAAGAATAGATCTTTCAAAGTATCTTTATTATAATGCTTGCTTTGCTTGGTTTAATTTTGGCAACTTTACAACTTGCTTCACATTAATTCTCTTACTTTAACTATTACATCTTTGTAGGTTAAAGCTAGGATTGCGGGTTGCGGTTGACGTTACTTTTTTTGTTGCCACTATATTTTTTGTATGGCTCGTGAAGAAGTTGCAAGAAGATATGAAGACTTTTTGTTTTATTTTGGTTAAGTAAATATATAAGGTGTGGATCATGTACTTCTTTGAAATTTGTATATGGTTAATTTTTGTATAAAACAGTGATTTAGAATTGGTTATATATATGATGTTATTGCTCAGTTGTAAATTATTTTGATTATGATGTTATTTTTTATTTATTTAGGGTTTGCTTACGGGGTTCTTGTAAGGCTAGTAGTAGGTAAAAAAAAAAAAAGTTTTCATAAGGGCTACACTATTATTTGCACCCTGGTAGAAAATAGACTTTCTACCACGGTGCGGAACCGTGGTAGAAAGAAAGATTTTTTACCATGGTGCAAAATCGTGGTAGAAAGTCTCGACTTTCTATCACGGCTGTTTTTACCACGGTTCAAAACCGTGGTAGAAAGCTTTTTCCATCGTGATAAAAAGTCATTTTTCTTGTAGTGATTGTGCGTGGATGTGTATAATTATTATCTCTGTATATTCTTGTATTAATGTGATGTGATATGATGTGATGAAACCTTCGTTATATTTGATGAAGGAGGAATTTGACTCTCAATAACAACCGACCGTAGAGTGGGTTAGAAGAAGTTAATATCTCCAATGCTTGCACAGTTAATGTCTCCATTGCAGAGCAAGAGGACATCATATGCAAATGAGAAATGTGAAATTTTGAGAGTGTTGCATCTCTAAAACTTCTTTCATATTTATATGAACATTAGTCCTAAATGTCCCTACTATTTAGTTGAATAATTGAATATATTAATCTGTCCTTTACAAGATTCTAAAAATAGACTAGTTCGGCCAGAATGACTAATTTGCAACGGATTTAATAGTTGTCACATCTGAGTCTCACTAATTTATTAGTGAGGGAGTCTCAAATTTAACCAGGCACGCGAAGCCAGAATTTTATTAAATGTATTTGATAAAATAAAATAAAAATCAATTAAATAGACTTAGGGACAAATGCAGAAAACACTTCAAAGTATACTTTGCGTAACATTTTTACCATCTATTTGAAAAAGTGTAAAAAAATACCCATAATCTTTTTACATTGTACAAAAATACACCCTCTGATATAAATTAGTATTGTAATACTCGTTTTGTCCTTTTACTCTTCCAAAAATGCCCCCTTGGTGTTATGTACACATTATATATATAGTTGAAACTCTTTTCTCTCTCTCTCTCTCTATATATATATATCTATATTTTATTTTATTTTTTATTTTTTATTTTTAACTGAGAATTTGTAGAACAAGGATTTGAATTTTTTTAAATTCCAGTTTACTCTTTTCTACTATTTTTTTTTTCTTTGTTTTAATTTTTTTTTTCTGTACCAACACTGTTAAAAAAATAAAAAAAATAAAAAAAAAAATAAAAAAAAAAAAATTCCTATTATCAATGTGCACTAGTTTTCGGAGTTTGGAAAAATTTTGTTTTCTTTAGTTTGCACTTTATTTTTGTTTTTTATTTTTTATTTTTATCTTTATTTTTCTTTTATACTTTTATTTATATTTTTATATTTACTTGTCCATTGCCGGTATCCTCCAATAGTGTCATTTTCAGTCATTTTATAAAATTATTTAGTTTTATATATTTTATAAAATGGTTCAGTAAGGGTAATTTAGTCAACTTAGGGTTTAAATTTGTCAAATGGACCTATTTGCACTGGATTGAAACTTTAGGTGTGTTATTTTCACGAGGGGCATCCTCCAATAATGTCCTTTTAGGTTATTTTACAAAATTATTTATTTTTATATATTTTATAAAATGGTTGAGTACAAATAATTTAGTCAACTTAGAGTTTAAATTTGTTATAGGAATTTATTTACACAAAATTAAAATTTTAGAGATATTTTTTGCACGTATAGGATGTGATATGCACTTAAAGCATATTTTAGGAGTGTGTACCCCACTTAATCTATAGAATTATGATGATGACATTGATGCGGTGAATTGTCTAATAAATGATGGTGTGGGTTTTTTTTTTTTTTTTTTTTTATTTTTAATATTCAATATTGATTCACAATCAATTTTGGCCACGTTGGTTGATTATGGCCACATAATTCAACCCAGGAAATACTAGACATTTTGTTTATTTTTTGAAAATCCCAGCAAATTCAATATATATATATAATGAAGTTTGTTGAAATATTATATATATGATTACTTTTCAAAGATTATTTTTAAGTATATATGGTCAAAATAACATAAAAATAAAAAAATAAAAAAATAAAAAAATAAAAAAGAAAAGAAAAGAAGAAGAGTAAGAAACTTGGTGGCATTTTCCCAACAAAAAAAAAAAAAAAAAAAAAGTAAGAAACTTGGTGGCCTTTTTCCAAAAAATAACATTAAAAAAAAAAAAGAAAAACAGGAGAAGAGTAAGAAACTTGGTGGCATTTTTTCAGAAAATAACCCGTGATATACTACAGTATTATACAACAAAAATCATCCTAGCAGAGCATATATACAATAAGTTACCTCGGTAATCCTAAGAAAGCGAATGATTCCAAATTGGTTGTCACCTTCCTAAAAAAAATTAAAAAATTAGTTGTCGGTGAATGATTGATTCTTTCCTAGTCAGCAAATACTTTTTCCAAGTGCAATGAATTATTTTCTCCTACTTTATTGGTATTATGGCCGGCAGTAGTACATTTCAATCACTACTTTCTACCCTTTGGTAAAGTATGTCCAAAGGCAACTTCCAAAAAAGAAAAACAAAAGTATGTTCAAAGACTTTTGAAGCTTTCAGTCAACCCCCGCTTCCTCTAGCTCTTGAGCTTGGTTTGAATTTGATTAGGTGCAAGCAAAACCCATTTTGGTTCTATCATACTGCTCAGTCTTTCACAAACATATCCATCTATTTTCTTCTGGACAGATGGAGGTTGCGGGGATCTTTCAATATTTCTAAATGGAAAGGTTTAAGTATATATCAGCAGCCTCAGTGCACGAGATTTTCATCATTACAAGAGATATTCACAACTTTACTTGTAAATATTGAGGTTGTTTTCAGTTCCTATTTCCAAATTTTTCCGACATGGTTCATTGTAGTAGAATTTTATGACACAGTAAGTTATATACTATATGGTTCTCAATTTAAGAAAACCTAAAGTCCATAAGGGTCCTATAGTCCAACAGGCCATGGTGATCCTTAGGTGAACAATGGAAAGAAGAAAACTTTCTAAAATTTAATTGAATAAAATTTAATTGATAGGTTGAAAGATAAATATGCTTATTTATGTTAGACTACCAATTAGATGAAATGTACTCTTTGGGATAGAGGGAGTATATAAATATATTTTTGATCTTCCAAACAATTATCATGTGTCGCACACCCAATTAAGAAACTCATTTAAACTAGAGATTGTGATTTATTAAAAGCAAAATGTACAAAATCATAAATCTTAGATTTAATTTTAGATTTTAAAATCAGGGAATGCAAGTGAAGGTAATAAAAAACAACACTGCTGTAAGTTATTGTAATAAGATCGCAAGCACACACAAACCTACTCTGTATGCTTTTGTAAGAGAAAATAACGCTTTAAATATTTCTGTGGGTCTATACGACGAAAATCGTCATAGCAGGGTTATATCGGCATATATCAAAGGTTTTTGTTTTGTTTAATTTGACAATAAGAAAGTTTATATTGTATATTGGAAAATAAAGCACATATACAAGATAAGACAGACTAAAAAAATGAGTGGATTGAGACAAAAGATTCCAAATTGAATGATGCTTTGGTTGTCTGATTTTTAGATCAACTACTTTTTTTCAAGTGCCACGAATTATTTTCTGCTACTTCAGTGGTATTATGGCCCACGGTAGTAAATTCCAACAGCTCCACTACCCTTTGGTAAACTAATGTCCAAAGACTTTTGAAGCTTCCAGTCAACCAACCCCCTCTTGCTCTTGCTATTGCTCTTGCTCTTGGTTTGAATCTGATTAGGTGCTCAATCTTTCACAAACATATCCATCTCTTTTCTTCCTAATCGATGGAGGTTGCAGGGATCTTTCTGGAGCCGATCATTCAGGCGCTGCTTGACAAGTTGGTCTCTCCGGCGGTGTCAAACTATGCCCGTCGTGAGGGAATCGATGCTCAGTTGAAGAAGTTGGAGAAAATGTTGCCAGCTATTCGTGCTGTTCTGGCTAACGCAGAGGACAAGCAATTGGAAAATGATGCTGTTGTCAAATTGTGGATGGACGAGCTCACGGACTTGGCTTACGATTTGGATGATTTGCTGGACGACTTGGCTACTCAAACTTTGGGACGAGAGCTGATCAAGCCACAATCTCATGCTAGCACCAGTACTACTAGTAAGGTACGACAACTCAACCCTCTCAAGCGTTATCATAATATGAAGTCCAAAAAAGATATGAAGTCCAAGATAGAGGACATCACTAAAAGATTAGAAGATATTGAAAAACAAAAGAGTATCCTGAATTTGAAAGAGAATGCTGAAGTGATTGGGTTCAAGACAACAAGAGGAGGACGGGAAACGACTTCTTTCGTCTACAACTCTGAAGTTTGTGGCAGAGAACAAGATCAAGAGGCTATCGTTGCGGAGTTGTTGAAGGATGAAATTAGTGCTGACAATTTCTCTGTCATTCCCATTGTGGGCATGGGAGGCATTGGTAAGACTACTCTCGCTCAGCTGGTCTACAATGATGAACGTGTAGAGGGTCGTTTTGATCTCAAGGCATGGGTTTGTGTTTCTGATGATTTTCATGCATATGTTCATAGAGTGACAAAGGCAATTCTTCAGGAAGTCACTTCAGGAAGTCACGATTCCGTGTCTCTGAATATGCTTCAACAGAAACTGAAGGAGAACTTGTCAGGGAAGAAGTTTCTTCTTGTTTTGGATGATGTTTGGAGCGACAAGTATGAAGACTGGCAGCTCCTAAAACTTCCTTTTAAGGTTGGGGCACCTGGGAGCAAAATTATTGTCACAACTCGCCATGAAAGCGTTGCATCAACCATGACTCTGTCTCAGGCTTACCAACTAAAAGGTTTGTCCAATGATGAATGTCTATCTTTATTTGCCCATCATGCACTCGAGAAAGAAAACTTTGATGCAGATCCAAGTCTAAAAGGAATTGGTATGGAAATAGTGAGTAAATGTAAAGGCTTGCCCTTGGCTGTAAAGACACTAGCAGGCCTCTTCCGGAATAAACGCCAAAGTAGTGAGTGGGTAGACATATTGAATAGCAAGATATGGAATTTACCCGAACAAAGTGGTGGTATTCTTCCAGCCCTTCAATTGAGCTATCATCATCTCCCATCTCATTTGAAGCAATGCTTTGCCTACTGTGCAACATTTCCAAAAGACTATGAATTTGACAAAGCTGAGCTAGTTCTATTGTGGATGGGGATAGGCCTTTTGCAGCAATCAAAAGAAAAGGATCGAATAGAGAATTTTGGCAATAAGTGTTTTGATGATCTTTTATCAAGGTCATTTTTTCAACAATCTGGTAGTAGTAAATCATTGTTTGTGATGCATGACCTTCTACATGATCTAGCTATACATGTTGCTGGAAAAATATCTGTTCAGTTGGATAAGTTGGAGGGTAATGAGCAATTTGAAATTCCTAAACGAGCTCGACACTTGTCATTTGTTCGTCAATACTTTGAAGTCTTTCAAAAGTTCAGGCCTCTTTGCAAAGTTCAGCATCTCCGAACTCTATTGGCATTACCAGTTCAGGCACATGAATCGGCATACTTAGCAAAAAAGGTTTTGTTTGATTTATTGCCAAATTTGCAATGCTTAAGGGTGCTATCGTTGTCTGGTTATTCCATAACTGAGTTACCAGACTCAATTGGCCATATGAAGCATCTCAGGTATCTTAATTTATCTAAGACTTTAATTCAATCGTTACCTGAATCAATCAGTACTCTCTACAATTTACAAACATTATTATTGCGTGGTTGCAAAAATCTTTGTATGTTTCCTCCAAACACTGAGAATTTAATTAATCTGCGCCACATTGACATTGTTGATACTGTGGAATTACGAGAGATGTCCTCAGGTATTGGTAGGCTGGAGAATTTGCAAACACTACCAAAGTTTGTTGTGGGCAGCAAAAATAATGGGGCAAGACTGAATGAGTTGGGGAATCTGAGCCTTTTAAGGGGGAGTATTTCTATTGAAGAGTTGCAAAACATAAAAGATGTTCGAGATGCAAATGAGGCAAATTTAAGGAACAAGGAGTGCCTTAATGAAGTAGAGTTGGCATGGTGTAGTGAGTTCAATGATTCTCGAGATGAAGACCTCGAATTGGATGTGCTTGACACGCTGCAACCACACATAAACTTGAAAAGGCTCAAAGTTGAGTTCTTCGGGGGCAGGGAATTCCCAAGTTGGATAGGCAATCCATCCTTTTCTGAAATGGTGAACTTGAGTCTTATAGGCTGTAGGAAATGTAGATCTTTACCACCACTCCAGCAACTACCGAAGCTCCGAGAGTTATACATTGAAGGCATGCATGAAGTGCAAAATTTGGGGGATGGACTTCCTTTTCCCTCACTGGAGAGGCTAAAATTTGAGGACATGCCAGCATGGAAAGAATGGTCTTTTTCTATTTCCATTGGTGTTGAAGAATCTCGAAGTCAATTCCCTTGCCTCCGTGAGCTCAGTTTGCGTGGTTGTCCCAATTTGATTACGGTTTCCCCTTTAAGGCTTCCCTCTCTTCAAAAATTATACTTGGAAGAGTGTGAGGAGGTGGTGCTAAAAAGTATAGTTGGTGTGACCTCACTAACTAGCTTGGAAGTTGTGGATATTAGAGGACTGTCTCAGCTGGAGGAAGCATTGGTGCAGTCTTTGGTAGCACTTGAAAGTCTAGTGTTCAAAAATTGCAACCAGCTGATGGCTTTGTGGCAAAATGGCAGCGGGGTTGCACAGAAAAATAATCTTGTCCGTTTACAGAGACTGAGAGTTGAGTCGTGCCCCCAACTTGTTTCCTTTGGAGAAGAATTAGATGATGAAGGGCTGCCTTGCATTAATCTTCAGGAATTGTATGTAAGAGATTGTGTGAATCTCGAGAAGTTGCCAAATGAGCTGGATAAGCTCACGTCTCTCACATCTTTAGAGATTAATGGGTGTTCGAAACTTGTGTGCTTTCCGAAGGCAGGTGTCCCGCACATGCTTAGAAGACTTGAGATAAGAGATTGCAATGCATTGAAGTCCCTGCCTGAAGGCATATCTGGTCTCAAGGATCTTCTTGTTGATGATTGCGTGAATTTGGAGGACTTTAACATAAATAATAATATTATGTCGTCACTTGAAACATTAAGGATCGAGAAATGGCCAAAAGTTGGAATGTTAGTTGGGGGTTGCGTAAATAATAACAATTTTGCTAGTGTCAGAGAACTTCATGTCGAGAATTGCGATGGTGTGGAGTCCTTGTCGTTCCCAGAAAGAGGCTTACCCAACCTCACATCACTTCATGTCTGGAATTGCGTGAATCTGAGATCCTTGCCTTCCACCAACCAGATTCTTCAAAACCTTGAATCCCTACGGATATGGGGATGTCCAAGTCTCGAGGCCTTTCCGGAAAGAGGCTGCTGCTTGTCCACCCCCAACTTGAGATCGCTTTGGATTATCGGCTGCAATAATCTGAGGTGGTTGCCAATTGATCAGATTCAAAGCCTCGCATCACTTGAATCCATAAAAATATGTGATTGTCCATGTCTTGGGGAGTTTTTTAATCAAGGCAATGGGAACGGGAATTTGCCCCCCAACCTTATTCATCTTACTATTAGGCGTTGCGGCAAACTGAAGCCCTTGTCAGAGTGGAGTATGCACAGACTCACCTCTCTTCAAGAATTCGACATTGAAGGTGGATATCCAGAGCTGGTCTCCTTTCCTCCTGATCATGACAATGATGAGTACTGTCTATTTCCTACAACTCTAACCGATTTAAGCATTGTGGATATGCCGAATCTGAAATCCGTATCATTAAAGGGCCTCCAAAATCTCACCTCTCTTCAATCTCTATGGATCCAAGACTGCCCGAATCTGAAATCCATATCATCATCATCATCCAAGGGCAAGGGCAAGGGCGGTGGCCTCCAAAATTTCACCTCTCTTCAACGTCTAAATATCAGGTATTGCCCTAAGCTTCGATCCTTACCAAAGGAAGGCCTGCCTGCCACGCTTCAAAATTTAGTTATCTGGAAATGTCCACTTCTTGAAAAACAGTGCTCAGGTGACTACTGGCCCAAGATTGCCCATATCCCCTGCGTTGTAATAAATGACAGCTAGACTGAACCCGTTACTATTCTATATTCTTGTGTCAGGTAAGCTCATGTTCTTCACACACTCTTCTCTCATGCCTCTCATTTTAATCTTTCATAACCAAAATGCTTCATTAGGTCCACAATTTTCGACTTAACCAAAATGCATTTTCTCCATTGCAGAATAATGGTCCACAATTTTACATTTATGGAGTGCTTGTGATTAATTAAGTCACACTTTTCGGACTCAGGTGATACTTCTTCTTCTTATTCTTTCACAGCCTCTTCATTTTCATATCATGTTTAGCCTTTTAAATAAAAATAATATCAAATAAATTATTATTATTATTATTATTATTTAAAGTAATTCACACTACTTTAATTTTTGCAAAGGAATTTGGTAGGTACGCCACACAAGTTTTTAGCCTTTTGGGAATATATAGCTTTTTTTTTAAAAAAAAAAAAAAGAAAAGAAAAGAAAACTGTTGCACTCCCAAAATTATTCTTACTTATCCTAATGGAACATGAACAGATATATATAAATCGTGCAAGTAAAATTTCAAATTAAATGAATTTGTGGAGTACGAAACAAGTAGGATGAGAATAGGTAGAATATAATTAAACCTAGTTTTTGTTTTTATATTAGATATTGTTTCATACACGAACTTCAAAAGATTCTTATGAATATTAAAAGGTAAATGGATTCCAAATGTAAAACCACTTGGCCAATTACTTTAAGAACAATTACTTTTAAATGTAGAGAATATAGTTGTGCTGGAGTTTAAGATTGCAGACCCTTCAAAATGTATAATTAAAAAAAAAAAAAAAAAAATTTGAAAACTAAGAATATGTAGGGGAGTCAAACATCCCCTCCATATTAAATTGATTTTATTATATTTTATAATAATAATGTAAAATATATAAAGATTTATTTATATTTATCTATCCCTTCATCTAGCAAAAGAGAAACAAAATAAAAATAATATAAAATAAATCTGACATTTTGTTCAGTAATATGAATCACTTTTCCAAGTCCTATTTCAACAGCCTTTGGGCAAATTATTGTGAACACTAAACTGCTGTCACGAATTTTATAAGAATAACAAGTGAATTTTGCATCTTGTAATAATAATACTGAAACAGGATATTAATAGCGAACTTTGGTGGTGTTCTGCAAAGTTCTGGTAGACAGGTAAATTCAAATTATACAATGGTGCCTAGTGAAAATTCAAAACTTACAGCAACAAATTACTTTTGAACTGTGAAATTCTACAAAGGTTGAAGCTTATGATGACTTGGAGTTCTACAATATTTAGTAATCAATGGTGAAGTTGAAATTCAAATTCTACGATGACTTGCTAATTAAATGAAACTAGGAGATTGTTTCTGAACAATTAAAGTAAAACAAATAAATATTGTTGAATATGAATAACAAGACAGTTTTTCTTTTTGTTTTGGTCAAGTGAATAAACAAAACACATTAGACATCATTTTTTATGAGATGAGACTAGAATAATTAATTCACACTCATTGCCAACGAGTGCTGCGAATAGTTCTGTGGCAGTTGTACATGAAGTAGGATACCGTACCAGTATATGTGAGGCCCATTAATTAAGATTAAGACTAAACTAAGTTATGAACTGAATTACCACTAAGATTACTCTAAGTTATGTTAGAAAATTCAAGATAGAAATTAGTACATTGCAAAAATGTAAAATGTTGTGTCTGTGTGAATTCTCTCTCTATAGAAGACTTTACCTTTTATAATTCAGTTAGGATGATTGCTGGTTTTAAGTGTTATCTCCACTTAAAGCCAGAAGCATATATGTAAAATAATCTTTTAATTAAGCAAGATTTAGGAAATTTGATTATGTTCAGCAGCCAAAGCAACAAAACACAATGCTAGGTCAAACCATTCAAGTAACTGAAGACAATACCCATAAATCGAGCTGAAATAAACATATCACTTGTGAATCTCAAATAATAATAAAGTGTATTAATGAACACGTTAAGTTAATAATTGGACATCTACTATGTCATATTCCAACTTATGACTCCGCAATTACCAGGTGTATTTAAGATAATCTCATCTACCTTAAATTAAATTCTGAACATTAGCAACTTATGACCCTCTAATTGGTTATAATGTAGGAAAAGGAAAAGAACTTCCAGTTTGAATCTCACTCAATCAATGAAGGCTAATACAACAAATTTATTTGAGGTTAGCAAGTGCTTCACTAAATTCTCTAACCAAATCAACAAGAAGAAACATAAGAATGCATATTTTTGTTTTCCTTTTCCTTCATTTTCTCAACAACCAAACACCTCCTAATAGAATTCTGTGACTAAATACTTTATGTCAAAATTGCAGGTTGGGATGCTAAATTGGTGAATGAGTCGGACCCATGGATTGAGAAGCAAATTGTTTACCGGCCGAAGCTTGGGCCATTGCAGAGAGCGGTGAGGGACAGTCTTTTGGAAGTTGGGGTCTTACCCTTCAATGGATTCACCTATGATCACATAAGTGGACCCAAGGTTGGTGGAACCATTTTTGACAAGTTTGGCCGCCGTCACACAGATGCAGAGCTACTTGCTTCCGCAAATTCTGAGAACCGTCATGTTTTGATTCATGCTACAGCACAAAAGATCATATTCAATGTAACAGGTTTGTTAGTTACTCAGATTCAATATAGGATTTTAGTCCCAAAAGTCGTAAATGAACCAGAAAGATTGACAACTAACTATAGAAAGTGTACGTACTTGTTAACGGGCAGTAATCAGTTTATAATGTCCAATACAGGGAAGAAACCCGTGGCCGTTGGAGTGATCTTCATGGATGAAAATGGGAAACAACATTGATTATTTCTTGCAAAGAGGCCGAGCAGTGAGATAATAGTGTCGTGTGGAGCAATTGGAAGCCCTCAGCTGCTGCTACTCAGTGGCATTGGACCTAAGGCTGACCTCAAGAAGATGAACATTTCAGTGGTGCTTGATAATGAGTCTGATAACCCCTTGAACACTGTTTTATTCCCGCCAATCGATCTGTGGAGCAGACATGGATACAAACTGTAGGGATTACCAAGATGGGTATGTGCTTTGATAGTAGTTCTTGTTACCATTAAGGGATGTACATGGATTAGAAAGAAATGCATAGGCTGAGTACTTATGAGGCTACTGTCTCTAATCTGACAATTTTACCAAAAATATGTGTTTGAAAGAATGACTTCTAAGGAACACAACTAGAATGGACTATATAAAACTATGTAAATTGATAGAAATTTTCTCCCCATTCCCCCTATCATCTCTGTTTAATCTCTTTAGCCATCCGCGTGATCTACAGTGTTGCGTTGAAGGTATTCGTATCGTGGAGAAGCTTGTGAGCTCCAAACACTTCACAAACTTCGCACTGTTTGATAGACAATCAGTGGCCATGCCGCTCAACACATTAATGAAACAGGGTCATTGGAGCAGTTTTGCAAAGATACTGTGATCACAATTTGGCACTACCATGGTGGGTGCCTAGTGGGCAAGGTAAGATCTTAATACAATGTATAGATATACCTTATAAAAGATTGTCTATGTTCTTATTTTTCTGTTCTGCCTCTGTGAATTTAGGAGAGAGAGTAATAAGCACAAATGGTTTAATATCATGATTTGGACTTGTACAGGTACATGGGAGTGAAGATTTTAAGAGAAAGATTAGGAAGAGCATCTGGTTTATAAAGACAGATCAAGACCAACTAAGGGCAGATGCATTTGTATGTTGTGACAGGGAAAATGTAATTTTGTTAGTCTAATTCTTAGTGCAATTGTATGTAGAGATAGGCTTGTCAACAATCAATATAGGTGTTCAGTTCTTTTGTATCTATGGTTTGTATAAGAACCAAATTTTATTTATGAAGTCACCTGTTGGTCTTTTTGCTGATTCACTTCCAGTTTTTCAAAGTTTCATGTTACTCATTGTTTGATGTAGAACAGGTGGTGTTGAACTATCTGGAGTAGTTACACTGTCAAAAGCTTAATCCAGAACTATCTGGAGTAGTTAGACTGAATTTTATGAATGTTGAATAAAGTTTTCGTTGGACGCATCCCCTTATTTTCAAAGATAAGGTATTTTGGTTGAAAACAATCATAATTCGGATGAGTGGGGTGCTTAAGATAAGGCTGCAATTTAAGCGGATTAAAATATATAACCCAAGTCTAATCCATTCTTTAAATTTGAATTGAATTCGGGTTTGCAACTCAATCCAATGTTTCGAGTTATAAAACCGAATTGCCTATATGACTAATCTCTAATTAAAATACCTGTGTAAGACAACCATTCCAGTATCATACTTCAACATAACAATTAAGAAAAATATTGAACTCAATATGCAAGCAATACAAATAGTACACTGCCTATAAATGTGCAAGCAATACAAATATTTTTACTTTCACAAATCAAAGTTAATCGGGTTAGAATATTAAGGATGCGTTAAAGTTAGGCTTTGTATTACGTGACACATGAACCCAAGCCTAGACCGAATTTATTTTGGGTTTCTCTTTTTCGCTCCAAACCCGCACCGAATTTCAAATAACATTATCCGAGTCCAATTTTTTTTTTAATTGGCCTCCAGTTGGGTCTAGCTTAATCCAAGGCATAAAACCGTGAGTTAACAATATATATACTTGAGCTTGGATTGCATGTTTTTTTTATTTAATATTAATATAAGGTTGGCCTTTGGGCTTGGGTTGGCCTTCGGTTGTTGAATAATACCTCAGCCGAAACCGAAACAAATTAATTTTTGGTCCAAAATTTTCAACTTAAGCCCAACCTGAATAATGGAAAAGTTGTCCAAACCCATTTAAGTGATCACATTGGCTTTTAGTTAGCCCTTCGAGGTTGCATTCCTGAATGATTATGATCACAAATATCAATACAGGATATCTTTGATTCCATCAATAAGCAACAAATAAGGAGAAGTTAATGATAAAGAAAATAAGTTGTAGGGAAAAAATTTATTATATATTTTTTATCATTATTATTTTTTTTATATCGATTACGGTGATGTAAATCTTTTTAAAGTACTCAATAATCCATCACCGATTACAAGTTATTCTCTCTCTTACATGCACCGGACAATTATTCAAAGAATTCACAAGAGGTGCCCCTATTATGAATGTTAAATCACTGAAGCACAACTTATTAATTGTTTACTATGTTATTTCTATTAAAATGTTTTGAGTTATATTTACTTATTTTTACATTACATTAAAAATAAAAATAAAAACTAGCTTTAAAATATTTTAATACTTATCCTGAAATTAAGAACAGATGAAACTTTCATTTCTTTTCCCTCACAATCCCTCCAAATTCCTTAATCCAAACAGAAAATTTTATTCCATTTTAAGTGAGACTTACGAAGTAATATTCAAATTGCGTTTTCAAATACACTTACTTAGATAAACGCTTAATCCATTCAGAAAATAGACAATGGAGTTTGTTAAAATACGAAGCCAAATTTTTATTTCAGATTGGCGAAATGTATTTGATAAAATAAAATAAAAATTAATTAAATAGATTTATGATGATATAGTGAAAGTATAAACGGATGGTGTGGTGATTGTGTTAGTTTTTTTTTTTTTTTTTTTAATATTCAATATTGATTCACAATCAATTTTGGCCACGTTGATTTGATTATGGCCACATAATTCAACCCAGATGATACTATACATTTTGTTTCTTTTTTGAAAATCACAGCAAATTCAATATATATATAATGGATAGGATTACTCTTTAAAGATTATTTTTAAGTATATATGGTCAAAATAACATTTAAAAATAATAATAATAATAAAAAAGAATTTGATTGAAGAAAAGAAATGTAATATATATATATATATATATATATATATATATATATTAAGGTGAAGGGAATGATGTGGGTCGATTACATCCTGTATGTCCCAAGTTCAAAATAATCTCTCCGTGTGGAGGTCCACAATAATCATGTAAAAGTCTGTAATGACGAAAGGCTCGTATACTGATTTAGTCATTTTTAACTCGTAGACATTTATCTACTGGAGCTTAGTACCTCAACCTTTCTTTTGAAAAGGTAGAGGACATAAATCAGTCCTTTTTTACTCGAAGACATTTATCTACGGGAGCTTAGTACCTCAACCTTTCTTTTGAAAAGGTAGAGGACATAAATCAGTCCTTTTTTACTCGTAGACATTTATCTACGGGAGCTTAGTACCTCAACCTTTCTTTTGAAAAGGTGGAGGACATACTACTCAAGCTAAGACTTTGACGTTCAAAACTAGTGCACTTCTTGCCTTCCAAATTGGACATTTGGGTTCATTTTCAAGAGCAAAATTGAATTGAGAAATCACGCATTTTGTATCATAAACCGTACAATAGGGTGAAGAGCAAAAATATACGTTCATAATTTTAATAGTGTGCAAATAACACCCATAGCATTCAAAAACCACCCCGGTATTATGAAAAGTGTGCAAATAAGACATTATGCCCTCCAAAAAGTGTGCAAATAAGACATTATGCCCTCCTAAAGTGGCACGTGCCTATCATGTGACTAAAAATGACCCTTTAGTACCCCATACTGTCCTCTTACACTACTTAAACTACCCTTTACTCATTTTTCTCTCATTTCTATATATAATACCCTTATTTAATTATTTATTTTTATAAAAATTGACAATTGATTCACTTTGACATAAATAATTGAAAAATGAAATATAACTGTTGTTCAACTCCCAAAAATAATTATCTAGTTGATATTGTTGATAAGAAAGAATTGGGTAGTTGTGCATCACCAGCAAAATGAGCATTTCTACAAGATCAGTTCCAATCACAAGACTGAACAATCACTTTCTTCAACACATAATTTTGTCTCAACAATTAATGAAACCTATTGGCAAGTTGCAACCAAACCATGTCAATTATATCATCTCAATTAAATCAGGACTATACATTGCGCATGCATATGCTGAGAACTTTACATGTCATGTCATGGAGTCTCGATTCTCTGCACTTATAAGGATGTTTAATTAAGGCTCTCCTATAAATGTACATATATATATATATATATGCATGCATACATAATGCAATTCAATTTTGTATCTCACAATGTTCATGCCCTGGATAAGAGGTCACATGTAATTGTCATATTTAATGGAAACCTACCAAATACTAGCAAACAAACTAAAGATAATACCCATTGCATGATGGCAATTGCATAGGACTTATCTTCATGTTCATGATAATATGTATATATTAAATTCTGATGTGCGTGTATACCTTCATCCACATTTATCACCCTAGCTAGTGGAGCAATCAAACTGATGTAAAAGAGAACCAAATAAGGACTCTGACATGATAGGCTACAATACTCTTAGATATGGAAAATACAATAGCTTCCAATATTTCTAAATGGGAAGGCTCAGGTATATATTCGCAGCGGTACTACACGAGGTTCCCGCCATTGCAAGGTCTGGAAAGGTTAGATATCCGCAACCTTACCTCCAAATATTGAGGTTGTTACTGGTTCCTATTTCCAAATTTTCCCTACATGGTTCATTGTAGTAGAATTTAATGACACAGTAAGTTATATACTATATGGTTCTCAATTTAAGAAAACCTAAAGTCCATAAGGGTCCTATAGTCCAACAGGCCATGGTGATCCTTAGGTGAACAATGGAAAGAAGAAAACTTTCTAAAATTTAATTGATCAGTTGAAAGATAAATATGCTTATGAGATAAATATCCATTTAGTATAAGTAATGTTTCTGTGTCACGGGCTCCGTTTGGATACATATGAGAGAAAAGAAAAGAAAGGAAATGACAGCAAAAATCTCTATTTATATTTGGATAGATAAGAGAGGAGAGAAAAGAAAGAAAATGGTAATATTCTTGTTTGAATAAGATAGAGGGGAGAAAAGAAAATAAATTATAACAACCAAATTACTATCATACCCTTATAATTAGATGGAACATGTGTGGAATAACAAGTTCCACCTTCTAATTGTTAAGGGCGGTTTCGAAACTATAAAATACAACTTAACCCACTATCATTTCCTTCCCAATATTCTCATTTTTGGGAGGATAGGATATGATATCCCTCCTTATCCCTCCCAATCCTTTCTTTGATCTGATATCCTGCCCAATCTTTTCCTTTATCTCATTTTAAACATTCCAAACAAAATCTACACTATCATTTCCTTTTCTTTTCCCTCACCATCCCTCCAAATTCTTCAATCCAAACGGAAAATTTTACCCCATTTTAAATGACCCTTACTGTTTTGAATAATATTCAAATTGCGTTATCAAATACACTTACTTGGATAAGCGCTTAATCCATTCAGAATTAAGTGTTGAATTGAGTATGGTGTTGAAGTCTTGGGTTCAAGTCTTCATCTTTATTCTGTTTTATTGCCCTTTCTCCTGTCAGCCCTGGACTTCTCTTATAAGCTGGAAAGTTTATCAATATGGATGCTCATGAAGTCCTCAAACTTGTGTCATCTAGAGGCTTCAAGAATAGCTTAACACTCCTCACTCCAAGCTCCGTTTGGTCCTAGAGAAATTGAAATTACTCAATACCAAGCTTAAGTATTCTAGAGAGTTCAGACTACTAGTGATTTTTGGCCTGCTTTGTACATTTTATACAATTTTTTTAAAGGTAAAGAAAATTGTACGTAAATTTTATACATTCAGCACAAAAATTGACCTTACCAAAAAAAAAAATTGTCTTCATCTTTATTTTTGTTTCCAATTTGGAGTGCAAGATTGCACTTTTGGGACAATTGTTAATCTAACAATTTCATGGATGAAACTTTCGAAAGCAGCTAAATTTTTCTCTATATATATGTCAACAAAAATAAGTAAACACACAAAACAAAGTTAATATAGCTATATTATATATCTTATTAGATTTTCTGGTGCATACAATGTACAGTACATATATAGGAATGGACATCATCAAATAAAACCATGCGTACAGAGATACTAAAGCAACATCGGCCAACACTATACGTACCAACCATATGCTAGCACTTATTTTACATCATAATCGTAACATATATATATATATGAACAAAGCATGCATGTAACATATATATATATATGGGCGTGTGGATTATTTCTTATTCATTCATTCTGGGAAGGCCAAAGGAAAGCTCCCATAACAAACTTCCTCTTCTGGTTTTCATCTCCAACGATGGGCAGCCCGTACTCTGTTAGGAGGCGATCAATTTTCCACTCTGGCATGGTCTCGTAGTCAGCTTTCTTGTACCTTGGATAGTGCAGTGGCATCTGGAAGGAACAGTACTGTTTCACCTCGCTCCTGCCGGTGTTTTGGTGCCCTAAACCGGCCGGCATAGTGTACGCAGGGTTTGAGCAAGTAGTTCCACTCATCTTCTTTTCTTCTCCTAGATCTCTACAAGATTTCTTGAGCAAAACACAGTGCCAACTTACCCTTTTATAGACAACCTTGAGAGAGGGAGGGTGTGTGTGAGAGCTCGAGTGTGAGGTGGCAATTATTATTGCAGTAATGATTGAAGATTCTATAAGTTTCCGGTTAATTTCTTATTTTGATGCGTAAAAGGGGCATGCTACAATGAAGGGTTCTCTCACGTGAGCTCATGAATTATTAATTGGCAACTTCAGTCATTGGATCAAGATTAGATTGTGACTGTGCACTAAATGTAACCATGATATACAGTGGTTTTAGATATAAATTTGTTCACATTTAAGAATATATAGATCCGGTAAGTACTCACTCGCACATTGACTACACGCTGGGACTTGAACCCTGCCCATCCTCTTTGAGGATTGGGAGGTTATACCATTGGCCTAATGGTTCATTGGTCATATTTAAGAATATTACATTAGAAAGTCTTCATTTATGCATATATATATATATATATATTAAAGGAGTTACCCTTTTTCTTTTCTTTTTTTAATTCTTGTAGAGGTTCTATACTAGAGGGCTACATAACTGTAAAAGAGGGAGATATCAAACACAAATGTGAGGGATCCAAAGAGATGATCTAGATTGAGGAGAAGTAGACTAGCCAATGGGGCTTCTGGTGAAGGTGAAATGTTTGTCACTACAACAGGTCTTTGTTGGTTCTGCACTTGATGTTTGCCTTGGAACTAGTATTTTTGGTCATAGGTTTCCTAGGTAATACCCAGAGGTCCTCAAGGGGACCTGGTCCATGCTTGGTATCTAGGGTCATAGGTAATGATTTCTGCCATGCCCGAGGTGGCATGGCGTGTTAAGTTTTAAATGCATTCGGCTGGGCAGCAGTGGTAGTGGTTGAAACCTTAATAACTTTTAACAGAACATTAATGGTGATTGTAAGGGTCTTTGTTACAGCACATGTTCATCATCCCTTTGGCTAGGCCTATTACATCGAGTTGCATTTTCTAACTTCTCATCCACCAATCCAAAAATCCTTCTAAGTGTCCCAAATGCTAGTCGTAAATGTACAAGAAAGCCCTACCCATATCTTGTTTCGTATTGAATAACTTTGGCTCAAGGTTAGGGCAACCTCGAGGTTTGATAACCTGGCATGTTGCCAAGGTGTTTAGATTCAAGGGCACCCTTGAGGTTTGGTGACGTGGCATGATGTCAGGGTCTTATTTAGTCGAGGTTTGATGACCTATCTTATTTAGTCGAGGTTTGATGACCTGACATGGTGCCAGGGTTTTATTTGGACTTGAGGGTTGCACCCTCACCAATTTGATAACCTGGCATGACGTCAGAGTTTTCCTTGGACCCGAGAGTAATATTTTTGAGGTTTGATGACATGGCATGACGGATTTTTTTTTGACTTTTCAAAGGGCCATGTGGGTGCCAACGTGGGCTATGCTTGGATGCCATGTAAGCTATGTTTTTTGACTTTTCAATGTGATGCACCGCTGGTACTAAATGACCTACAATTCTTAAATTTCAGAACTATTTTTGAAGCTGAGGGCAATCAAAAACTGCATGTAATATCTAAACTTTCAAGTATTATTTAATTAGTTGGTTGTGCTAAACATATACATATGATATACATCATATACATATTCATTCATATCTGTATAAAAAAAAATATTGAGTTTCTAGGCTGTATTAGAGCTTAGGGCGTACAAAAACAGATGGTAATACTTGTATAAACCAGTTTCTGGTACAGAGTCTGAAGAGTTTGAGACGTGAAAGCTACCATTCAATGCATCTAACATATCTAAAGTCATCTACTGGAATCATGTAATAAATGCTTGTGTATATTATTGAATGGTTGATGTATTGTCTGATTAGCTTTTAATTAATTGATTTGTTGACATTTCAACTCTTAAATGCATCTTTCATCCAATTCAAGAAATATTTATGTGCACATATGTAAGCTAGAGATTGTACATTGTGCGAGTCAGTATCATGCATTTAATTAACTCATTGAACAGGGGCCAAAGTTTTCATATGTATTTTTCCCAATGATCACAATACACAACTGATCATTTAATTGAAGTGATAAAGTTTGTTTTGTCAATCAATTAAACAAGTTTAAAATCTGCACGACTCTAGAGCAAACTTAAATTTTGTGAATGTTTCATCTTTAAATTTAAGAATTTACAAAGAAATAAGTGGTTCTTATTTCTTCTTTTGGCATCCATATATCACTACTTAAAAATGTCTCTTTGACGTGCGTTTGGCCTCGAATAATCGTTTCGCCTTAGGGATAATAGATATGAAGAACATGTGATAATGGTCATATAGTGGTAAAGAACTGGTCTTGCATCCAAAAGGGGGAGTGAAGGTTGTGTGTTCAATTATTATTGAATCAAATAAAAACCACTAGGGGTTGGCATATGGATCTGAGTGTGATACATCAAGGTTTGAGATTATTTATTGACTCTCAGCTTGACATCAACACTTTATAAATCTATAATACCAAACTACTAGGATAGAGGTGACAGAAGTTACCAAGATCAATTAAAAAGGATGGAACCCAACTAATTGATAATGCAACTTAAACACGAACATCTAAAGAATAACACCCAAAAATTACAAAGATTGGAAAAGAGTCTAGCAAAAGAGAACACATTAAACCAAAAAATCAAATAGAGGCATAATTTTGGTCTTACAAGGAAAAATACCTTCCACGTATTTTCTACAAGGCCAAAGATCGCCAAAAGTGGTGAATAGAGATGCCAAGTTGAAAATGTCACGCCAAAGTAATCTTCTCTGTGTGGCGTCATTTGCTCCACAAACAAAAGATGCATTAAATGATAGAGATGAGCTTCTGATAGTAACAGCACAGTGAATCACTTGACTTTGCTGATGGATAACCTGAACACACATCAAGGTTGGTTGTTGTCATTCTAGATGATCCATATTCTCCCCCAACTCTGAGTTGATTAACAGAAGAGTCTCCTCGTCAAATGTCTGATGGTCATTCAATTGTTTAAGTTGTAGATATAATAATCCAGTTATACTCTGCTCTACAACAATGAAAACAACTCACAACCAAGTACTAAACCAGTGGTCTCTATTGTCACTTCAATATGGTCAGGACATAAAATTGTGAGAAAGAAATACAGAGATGACATAGACATGGAGAACAAGCCAGCCAAGAAGTCAAGAATCATAGGCCAAAAGTTTTAGATGAAGGGAAAACTAACAATACTCCAAAACCTTGGACTCCAGAACTTGTTAATCCTACTCGTACTTTTTCCAAGAAGATACGATGCCGGAAGGGGAAGGATAACCTTAACACCTCAAAAAAGGCCTCAGAGGGTGTCATAGAATAAGCAATTGGTTCAAAACAAGAACCTGCTCCAATAACATGCAGACGAGTGTTGAACTTCAATTTTGAAAATGAGGCAAGAGTTTTAGAATCTCAACACTTTGACATCTTCACCAAAATTAACAAAAAATCCACTACAAATTCAACTCTTGAGTCCAACGAAGGCAATAACATAACATAGAAACAACTTTTGATGAGACATGGCTTGTTGATTTTTCTGTTGTACCAACAGGCCTGTGGCCTAGCGGTATACAGCTCCTACTTCCCAAAGGGAGGTCAGGGGTTCGAACCTCAGTGGAGGCAGTGTGTGTGAGTCCCAACTAGGGAAAAAAATAATAATAATAATAATAAAATAAAAATAAAGATTTTTCTGTTGTGAAGTTTGTTGCTGATGCTGGAACAGAGCATAATTGAATTACATCCACAACTTGAACAATTGGAGGACCAACAGACCAGGACCGGCCCTGAGATTGACAAAATCTTGAGAGGCCCTAGGCGAACTTAAATTTGAGACCCTTTAATTATTGAAATACACACTAACATACACATAAAATAGTAAAAAGTCATATTCAATTTCGAATTTAATCACCAAGTTTTTAAGGGCCCTAATTTTAAATGGGCTATGAATTCGTATAATCGAAGGGCCCTAAGTTTTTTTTTTTTTTGGGCCTATCACTTATGGAAAGGGGCCTAAGTTTTTTTTCTTTTTATTTGGGACTATCACTCAGGGTAAGGGGCCTAAGTTTTTATTTTATTTTATTTTTTTTAAAACGTATCACTAATGGGCCCGAAAATTTTGAGGCCCTCTAAATGTTGAGGCCCTAGGCAACAGCCTTGGGCCAGGGCCGGCCCTGCAACAGACTTTTGATGAGGAAAATTTTCTTCATCGGCTGTGCGCGGATATTGTGCAGTAAGAGACATGAAGGCAGCGCTGTAACAAATTTTAAGGAGTGAACATTGTTCTTTTGCACTTTCTTATATCTTTCATCAGCAAATTTCTAGATAACACTGATTAAAAATAAAATAAAACACAACAACAACAACAGCTATGAATCACTATCTAAGAAATTTAAGTTTACCTGGAATGCTTGTCTGACATATTTTGAGTATTGTTTCTTGTTAGAATCAAATAGCAACATATAGGTTTCTAGTGTTCCCTCCCGCAAGAAGTATTTTCATTTTGTTCAAGCACCATGGGTTGGTTGCCTCCATTGCTGATCTCTAGACATTCCCCTCTCTTGGTAACAGCATCAACCACTCCTCTTGGAGAAAAATTCTGTGAACCTGCAACAAATGCACAATGGCAATAACTATTAGTGCTATTATGATATGGAGATGATGTAATCGTTTACACGTAGACAATGCCATGATTTGTGCTTCTGTGGGTGAATGCGTTTCCTGAACCTTTTTCCATCCGGGGATTATAGTCGGCATTATCTTCTGCGCCTTTCACAGACCACAAAGTTTTGAACATGGTAGATTTTTGCCTGTTCGTCCTTGTTTTCTTGCACATCCTCTGATATACTTGCAAGGAATTGAATCGGCAGCCAATACGATTATTTATCTGTCGTTTCTATGTTATGTTCTTGCCTTTGTTGGACTCATGAGTTGAATTTGTAGCTGATTTTTTGTTAATTTTGGTGAATATGTCAGAGTGTTGAGATTCTAAAACTCTTGCCTCATTTTCCAAATCGAAGTTCAACACTCGCCTGCATGATATTGGAGCAAGTTCTTGTTTTGGACCAACTGCTTGTTCTATGACACCCTCTGAGGGCTTGTCTGAGATGTTAAAGTTATCCTTCCTTATGTCCTTCCCCTTCTGGCATCGTATCTTCTTGGAAAAAGCATGAGTACAATTAACGAGTTCTGGACTCCAAGGATTTGGAGTATTGCTGGTTTTCCTTCATCTAAAACTTTTGGCCTACAATTCTTAATTCTGGACTTCTTGGCTGGCTTGTTCTCCATGTCTATGTCATCTCTGTATCTCTTTCTCACAATTTTATGTGCTGGCCATGTTGAAGTGACAATAGAGACCACTGAATTAAAAATTGGTTGTGGGTTGTGTTCATTGTTGTAGAGCAGAGTATAACTGGATTACATCCACAACTTGAACAGTTGAAGTCGAAGGACCAACAGACATTTGACGAGGAAAATTTTCATCATTAGCCCTGTGCGGATAATGTACAGCAAAAGCTGAAGGCAAAGGCTGCAACAAATATTAAGAAGGTGTGAACAATGTTATTTTCATTTGTGCAACAAAAAAAAAAACTTCGTTATTTTCTACTTTCTTATATCTTTCATGAGCAAAATTCTTGATAACACTGTGATAAAATAATAATAAAAAAAATTTAAAAATGTTGAAACATATAAAAGGTGAAGAGAGAAATTAAACATGAAGACCACAACAAAACAAAGCCCAAAGGGCCACATCACTTTTGTTATATTCTCTCTTGAGATTGTTTACAATGAGCACCTCTATTTATAGGTGAAAAAACAAAGCGATAAATAAGGAAAATACATAAATGGAGGATTCATAAAATGAATCCCAAAAGTCACTCCAATCATATTTTATCATAGACTAAAATCACTCCCATAATATTCTCAGAGTAATATTCTGTTGAGTAATTTAAGGTCCCTATAATAATATTCTCCAACAGGACCAACACCCTCCCTCAAGTTGGTACACAAAGATTTTAACTCAAGTGTCCAACTTGAAACTAAGTACGAAGTTGTTGAGAGTCCAAAACGAGTTGTAAAGATCCGAGACGAGTTAATCTGAAGATACGAGACGAGTTGATTCGTAGATCCGAGACGAGTTGATTCGTAGATCCGAGACGAGTTCTAATCCATCACTTGAGTTCTAGCTTTCTTACTAAGGATTTAGGCAAACTTCGGTATTTTCTAGGAATTGAGGTGGCTCGGTAGAAGCAAGGCATTAGTCTTTCTCAGCGGAAGTATACTCTTGATCTCTTACAGGATACTGGATATCTTGGTTCGAAACCTGTAGCTACACCCATGGAGACTAATGTAAAACTTAAGGTGGATGATGGTGACCCACTCGATGATCCAAAGATGTATCGGAGACTTGTAGGGAAACCTATTTACCTCACAATTACTCGTCCAAACATCTCCTATGCAGTCAGTGTTGTGAGCCAATTCATTACCAGTCCTCGGGTACCTCACATGGAGGCAGTTGTATGCATCATAAAGTATCTCAAGGGTGCTCCAAGACGTGGTCTGCTTTATCGATCTTCTGGACATCTTCGGATTGAGGGATACACAGATGCAGATTGGGTCGATTCTCCTTCTGATCGATGGTCCACCACGGGTTACTGCACCTTCATAGGAGGAAATCTAGTAACTTGGAGGAGTAAGAAACAGTCAGTTGTGGTTCGTTCCAGTGCTGAAGCAGAGTATCGTGCTATAGCACACACTGCCTGTGAACTTGGTTGAAAACTCTTTCACAAGAACTTGGGATTTCAGTCCAGTACCCAATTCCTCTTCATTGTGACCATCAGGCAGCTATTCATATTGCTAGCAATCCAGTCAACCATGAGATGACTAAACACATTGAAGTAGATTGCCATTTCATTCGATCTAAAGTTGACTCGAATGAGATTGTTACACCTTGGCAGACATCTTCACTAAGGCGCTTCCCAAGAACTCTATTGATTCCATATGTAGCAAGCTCGGAGTTATTGACATTTACTCTCCAGCTTGAGGGGGAGTGTTGTACAGTATTGTATGAGTTGTCACACGTGTATAGTTAGTATTGTATGCGTTGTCACCTACCCCTCATTACCAAATATAGAATTACCATGTATAGGGTTTTCTTATTCTCCACTCACATACTCCCGTAACTTCTCCTATATAAACACCATTGTATTATTGTATTACTCACTCAATAATATATACGTTTTCAACTCGTCTCGGATCTTTGCAACTCGTTTCAGACTCTCAACAATTTCGTACTTAGTTTCAAGTTGGACACTTGAGTTAAAATCTCCGTTAAAATCTCCGTGTACCAACTCGAGGGAGGATGTTGGAGAATCTTATTATAGGAACCATAAATCACTCCAATCATACTTTATAATAGACTAAAATCACTCCCACAATATTCTCAGAACAATATTATGTGAAGTAATTTAAGGTTCCTATAATAATATTCTCCAACATCCTCCCTCAAGTTGGTACATAGAGATTTTAACGCAAGTGTCCAACTTGAAACTAAGTACAAAGTTGTTGAGAGTCCGAAACGAGCTGCAAAGATCCGAGACAAGTTAATCTGAAAATCCGAGACGAGTGATCCGAATATCCGAGACGAGTTGATCCGTAGATCTGAGACGAGTTAATTCGTAGATCGGAGACGAATAGAGTATAGAGTATGGTATGATAAACCTGCTCTGATACCATGTTGAAACATATAAAAGGTGAAGAGAGAAATTAAACATGAAGACCACAACAAAACAAAGCCCAAAGGGCCACATCACTTTTGTTATATTCTCTCTTGAGATTGTTTACACTGAGCACCTCTATTTATAGGTGAAAGAACAAAGTGATAAATATGGAAAATACATTAATGGAGGATTCATAAAATCAATCCCATAAATCACTCTAATCATATTTTATCATACACTAAAATCACTCCCACAATATTCTCAGAGCAATATTCTGTGGAGTAATTTAAGGTTTCTATAATAATATTCTCCAACAAAAAACAAATACAGAAGTTAATCATTATCTAAGAAATTTAAGTTTGCAGTGAATGCTTGCCCGACACATTTTTAGCAAGGTAAGCTCCAATCATTGAATCTACAATTGAACCTTTCCATGGTCAGAATTGCCTGACGTGTGAACATTATCATTCTACTTTTAGTTGCACATAAAATCTAGTAATACTTTTCTATTCTGGCCAAAAAAAAAAAAAAAAGTGAAAGGGTATTAAAAGGCATTCATAATTGGAGTTCGAGCATAAAAGCATCATCCAAACTTAGTGTGGTTAAGAAATTGACTCTTTTTCCTAGTGTCATATTAACTTGTAGTTCATATGCCATCATGTCCCTAATATAATGAAGAAATATCATTTGTTTTAGTTAGTTTTAAGGGTGTGTTTGGATGTACCACATAAATGGAGCCTGTTCCATTGTGTGCTTGTCTGTTTATAATTCTGTGTTATAATCCATCAACATGAACTGGACAATAAAATGGCAGCCGTCATCAGAAATGAGTGAAGGAAATTGAAACGGAAACACGTTACGGTTTCCTAAAACTGTAACTAAACCATTAGTTGCAGTGGTTGCTATCATATTCTTCCATGCCCTCGTATAAGGCAACTTGTTGTACTTAAATTCTTGGTAAAAACAATAAAACTATCCCCTTCATACCAACATCGTAACAGCACTCCCAAAATTATGTTCTTTTCTATTTCAATAGTGGAATGCATATCTCTACTGAAATAGTTTGCTGCCACCGCCCCACCAATGAATCATAGAGCTTAACACATTTTTCCTTTAACTCCTCCTCTAAATCTTTCACCGATGGCTCCAAAGAATACATCAATGTCATTCCCATATTCCTTTGGTACTAAGATCAACAATGTCAACATCGTATTCTCTTTATACATGCAAAGCAATGGATCAAAATTATATAAAACTAAAGTCACCGGCCAACAACTGCATTTATTGTTAAAGTCACCGAATGGATTGAATCTATCAGCCGCAAGGCCAAGCCTCAAATTTCCAGGATCTGATGCAAAACACGGCCACTTTCTATTTATCATATCCCATGCAAGTGAATCAATTGGATGTCACATCTTTTTATCTGAACTTTTATTAGTTGAATGCCACAAAATTCATTCAGCCTTTTCGTTTGATTGAAATAATTGTCTAAATCTTGGTACTATTGGAAAGAATCACATCACCTTAGCCGGAACCCCTACTTGAACCTTATTAGACTCTTTGCTCATTTTCCACCTTGAAGCACCACACATTGGGTATGCATTCATATCCTTGATCTTTAATTCTTTATTTATTTTCCTTCTTACTCTTATTCATATTCAAATTCCTTTTTAAGCTCTTCACTAAAAACACAGGAAAAAAAAATTGCATTTCCTTTCTTCAATCAAAACCTAACCTTTTACCCTTCAAAGTTCTCTCATATTTTTTTCCCTTCTTTTTTTTTTTCTTCTTAAAAGTTCTCTTTTTCTTGCACTAATAGATGATTTATATGCAATAACCTTCTTTTCTCTCTTCTTATTCATTTTTAATTCATTTATTCTTTAAATTTATTACTAGAATTTTATACACATAGGGCATGTTAGGCAATCATTTTCTGTTTTGTGTTTTCGTTGGCAAATTAGTGAAAATATTTTTCCGCTAGTTGTCTCAATGTTAGTTGGAAAATATTTATGATGCTAAATATGCCCCCTCCCCCGCCCAAATAAATTCCTCGCTCCGCCCCTATGTATCATCATTTTCTTTTCTAAACAAACAACAATCATTGATGCACTCATGTATTTTTTCCTCAAAGCAAATGTCTTCAATGGCTTCTTTGTTGCATACATCCCCTTAGGAAGTTTGTTATCTGGCAGAAGCATATCACGAATAAGGTTAAGAAGCTAATCATAACCAGTGTCAAATAGATTATAAGCAACTTTGTGCTTATATAAAGCAATTGTTGCCGACATAATTGTATACTTCATGCGATCAGAATATAAAGGAGTTTCAGCTTATTCCAATGCCTCTCTACTTCCATTAGTAGGCTCTGTGGCAGAGTTGGACCATCAAAATGCACATCTCTAAACATCCCATACGTTTCAAGCATTTCCACACGATCTTCATCGCCTTCATTTTCTACATATGCACTCCGATGAAAGACCCCATACAGTGTATTTAAAATCCATTTGTTTATCACTATGTGCTCGTACAATGTATTTCCATGCTAATATTGTGAATTTAAACAATGTTTAGAGGGGCATAAAATCGTATCTCGATTCCTTGCATTACCTTGAGCCCATTTGACAAATCTTCGTGCTCCATTTATACTCACATGTTTGAAGCTCTACAGTTGAAAACTCAAATTTTTAATTCCGACAAAAAATGACATGTACAATGTCTAAACTTTTATGGATAAGGTTATTTAGGTTATAATAACCTGATATCAAGGTGAATCCAGCCTTTATCCATAGCTCCTTGATTACTTATTTAATAATAAGTGACTACTTTTTGTAGAGGTATCGATAACCTAAACCAATTTCACCATAAGTAAAAAAACGAGATTGTGATTATATATCTAGACTCTGGCCACTTTACTAATTGAATCTTTGATGGTGATAAGAAGAACCCAATTGAAGAAGTTAACATTAAATTCAAGCCTAGCTTAATGGATCATGTAGCACATTACCTTTTAAAAAAAGAATATGCTACCTAAAAGTCAAATCAGTACGCTAATTAACTATGTAATGAACATTCACAATTGTATGATTATATATACACTTATGACCTACTTCTAAATAATTAAAAATATATATATTAGATGCTTTGAACTAACATGGACAAAATAGCCTAAAAGGAAAATCAGTACGTCACATTTACCCATCTAACAAGCATTCACAATTTCTACATGTATATACATATATGAAGTACATCTAACTGCCAATAAAATAAAAAAAACAGCATATAATAAGAGCCCCTAAATAAACCTATATATAAAGCATGTGTGGCTGTGTTATTTCAAATAAGGAATTTACCTCAAAATGAAAAGCGCCTGGATCACTTAATTCATGAGTCAATGAGAGCATATGTTTCAACCAAAAGAAAAAAAAAAAAAAGTCTAAATTTCCATATGCATCATGAATCCCTAACCCCTTCAACTTCTTGCTCCAAGTGTGGTTTTCCTATCCCATTCGAGAATGCATAATCTGAATCACAATGAATTGCTCAAATGCTACATTCCAATTCTAAGATTTTGGCAGCATCTCCCCTCGATTCTCCAAGTACACAAGATAGACTAAATGCAAATACGTCAATTGGTTGCGACTAATGGCGTACGACACTAAGTCTAAATATGTACCCAGAGAAACATGGAGAAACACCAACGAAATTTTCTTAGAACGGAGCATAGCACGAGTAACTGACTGCAATGAAGATTTATGCATTCCCAAACTGTCCAACAGGACGATTCAAGAACCATTGCAACAAGCAATGATTCTCGAACAGGTCTAAGTTCGCATGCATGAATAAAAAAAATGACTTTTAATGAGCATCATTAAAAAGCATCACTACGTTAGCATTCAGAACTTACAACTAAACAAGCAGAGAGATATACGAAAACTGACAAAACCCGATAAATTAAAAAATTAAAACAAAATACAATATAAGAGCAGGCCATTTAAAAAGTTTGTTTCTCTCCATCTCTGCTCACCACCATCACCACTTTCAATACCTTGTCACTGA